GTCATGGTCAGTGTTATGTTTAGGCATTTCTTGAATTCTGCAACTCAAACATTAGGAGCCTGATCCAAATAAACACAGGGAGCATATTGACAGTGCAGTTGTGGAATATTTTATATTATTTTATGGTAAAACAACACATTTCTGAGTAATAAAAAAGTTTGTTTAACTTGTCCTGAGATGGATTTATGTCATATAATGTTTGTGTTTATTTGTTTGTAGATTTGAGTTTAGTGTATCTATAGTGGAGCTCCACAGGAGAACTCTGGATGTAGCAGTGAAGAATGGAGGGAGCATCCTTTCCAAGCACAGAGGATTTTTGGGAAAAGTAACTCATTTATGCTTTTTGTTTCTGGCTGTTATTATACAGTAAATGTAAATACGCCATAGATGTATTTATTTTTGTTCAAAATTGCAGGTGCTGGTAGATTTAAGTGGGGACGATATATCAAAAGGATGGACACAGTGGTAAACTCCTTTTATCTTTGCCTTGTCTGATTTCTTTAGGTTATAAAGAGCCTATTTCAGCACATGAATGAATTGTTTTATTGTTTCTTGCAGGTATGAGTTGAGTGAAGATGGGTTATCATCTCAAGGCATAACAAGAACTGAAGACCCCCTCCACTCATAGTGAAACTACCTATCTGCTGTAATATGGTGGTCGTGTTAATTCTAAGGCCACATTATTTTATTATTTTGTTACAACCCATGCAAATGTGTTATATAATTTCCAGGAAAAGTAAGTTCTGCATGCTGTATGTTTTTTTAAATTTTCTAATATTATTTCATGAATGATCACAAAAAGTTGTAATGTAAATAATTCCTGTTTTTAGTGTTTTAGGTAAATATCACATTGCTAATATATAATGACAAGATTTTGCAGGGGTTTTCATGGCATTATACTGTATTTCCTAAAAGGAAATGATATTGAAATCTGTCTGAAATGTTACAGCATATTCCATCCAGTTTGGTAGAATGTGACAAATTGTTTTGTCATATGAGAAACCTCTTACCAAAGGAACAGACATAATCACACAAGTAGGTTTAGGTAGCAGAGATTTCTGTTCTGCAGTGTTATCTGATTGTTTGCCTCTTATTTTTCTTTGTGTGAATACAAACATGGCATGCACTCATGTAAGAAATCAAATGACTGCTCAGTTTGTTTTAGGAGAACTTTTGCAAAACTGGTTCTGAACATTTTCTCAGATACAGAAGACCTGGGAGCATTGTAGGGCTACGAACATGTGCTGTATGTTATGAACACTATAAAGGATACATGGATTATGGTATAATTTTTGTTCAACCCAAACTGAAAAATATTAACAGAACAGAACAACAGAATTGTTGCATTTTATGAGCAGGGCTGCCAGAATCTTGCTCAGATGAAGTTGTTTGTTGGAGCTTATAAATACAGTGCTTTTCTTGTTATTTATCCTGTGCCTTAAAAACTCACTAGGTAACATTTTGATTCCTAATGCTATTAATTTGAATTATATGATGCCTTGTGGCTTTTGAAGAATAAATGGCATTTCTTCTGAAAATAACCACACTTATTTTTAGCAGTTAACCCTTCGTGGCCAACAACAAAGAGTATGAATTATTTCCAGTAAGCATCCCACAATAACTCTGTTTTTAAGAAAGTTTCATTTTGGAATGCTTGTTGCAAGGGTTGTATTTAGTTTATTTATTTAAAATTATTGACAAAATGTGCAACTTGCCAAGATTTTGCATACACCTGTGTGAGTTGGTTGGGTGATGGTGCTGAAGTGCTATTGAGCAAACTGAATTTGCTTTTAAGTGAAGACACCACATTCAGAAAGAGGTAGCTAGGCTACATGCAGCAATTGGTTGCCATCAAGTGGAAGAAGAAACAAACTAGCTGGTACTGTCAAGAATTGACATCATGCAGCGTTCAGCCAAATGGGCAAACTCCTTCACACCAACCTGCCATTTGTAATATAGTCTGAGATATTAGTAATTTCTGACTGATGCAATAGGCTTTTTAGCACTTAGCAAAAAGAAACGAGGAAGTGTAACAGGCTACCAAATGTCTACAAAATCACCAACAAGGTAGACAAAATTCAAATGGCTTTACTCTAGCGTCACCACATTCAGTTACATTATTGGCAAAGCACTGTATTAAGATTATTAATATAATGCAAGTTATGGATGAACAAATAATAAATATGGAAAAATATATAAATATGACACCTATTTTCCTAGCAACTAATTTCCTTTAGAGACTAATTGATTAAGGAGATGTCCTACTGAAAACCACGTATGTAATTCTAATGTTACTGTAGAGACTGTGATAGAAACCATACACTGTATATAATTTTTTTGCTATTATATTTTATTTATTAGTACGGTATATATTTATGGCTCTGACAAAAACACCACATTTACTTGCATACAGTCGGCCCCCATATGCAGTGATTGGGCGTCATCCAGTGGCTGAAGACCCAAACTACAACTAAATGTCAATAAATGACGCACGTCGTCTGGACGTACAACGCCATGACGCACGGAAGCGACTTAAATTTTCGCGGTTTCACTGTGTGGGTGTTGTTTTGGATGGTAGATGTTGCTTCACAAAACGAAATAAAAAGGTATGAAATCGAAGGCGTTGTTATATAATTTATGCTTTCTTTATCTGAAGCTCTAAATGTGGCCAACTACAAATGTAAGAGTGGGATTAACACTCGCTAATAACGCTTTTAATGGACCCGCCTTATTGGTTTGAATCGTAACGTTACAGAAACATTAAAGTTAGCTAGCTAACTAATGTGCTTTTGAATTGCAGGTTTACGTGAAATCTCCCCCTGGCTTCGTATTGCTTGGGAAACCGAAAATATGTCCAAACGACAGGCTTTTTTAGAATCTGTTTGTAAAGAAAATGTGAAGGACTTCCTTCATTTTATCCAGCTACATGTAAGTAAACTCACTTATGGAAATATCAAATCATGATTGAGTCATTTCATACATGTAATCTTAGGTACATGGATGTTTATTGATTTGATGATGTTGAAATTTTGAGAAATGTTGCTGTTTAGTTAAGTAGTTATTTTTTTTTTAATTTTTTTATTTTTATAATTTGTTAAATGTATGTTTAAGATTATTCTAAATCAAATAAGTAGAAATCATCTGAATGTTATCAGATTCTGCATTAATTAGGTCAATATATTGTTTTGTTTTTATTTTTAGCATTTTCATTATAAAATGACAAAGAAACACTGTAATACAAAAAAAAAAAAAAATACCAATAGTGACCTGTGGCACATGTAAAATCAGAGTCTGGCGTTAGTATCAGACGCTGATTCTGATTTAATTTGTGAAGCAAGTCTTTGTTTCCATTTCAGCTGACTGTTTCTGCAAACACTCTATTTGCTCTGTTCTTTGTGTAGCTCAGTTTATCTTTTGATGACTGGTCATGAAAAGTGGAGCTGAAGCAGTCATCTAGTACTGGGAATAAAATGCAGATGAGTCTAAATGCAAGGTGGTTATGTAGCTGTCATGACTGATCTGTGCTGTCTGTCTCACATTCGTGGGATCTGCTGCTGTCTGTATTGTTGAGCAGGAGAACAAAGTGGAGCCCTTCGATGTGGAGGAAGTAGTGCAGGAGATGTCCAGAGACCAGAAACGGGCTCTATGGGGACAACTGGCTGTGCTCCTGAGAGACATTCTGCTGGAGTTGCCTCTTGATCGCTGGGAGGCGGGCGTGAAAGTGAAGTCAGCTGCAAACCCTGAGAGTTTACAAGTCAGTTTGTATACAGTTCTAGCATAAACTTTATGGCATTACTGCTACCTCAGCTTTCTTTTATTTGCATAAAAACACAGGGTGTGCAAAGCACTCTTGTAGTTTTTTTGTACTATCCCATTCCTTTCACATTTTGTGATTAATTGATAGCGCTGCTGTTTTTATTTTTTTCACAAACTCCTGAACCAAATAATGAATTTTGTGTACTCACGTAATGCCTGTGAATTCAGAACTTTGTTTAGTTAATTAGTCTGTGTGTAAACGTCCACTGTTGTCCCAAAACTACTGCACTAGGTGACATATTTCTTCCTCACAAGAATGGGTATGTCTCATGTCAAAAATGAGCACCAAGCGATGAGAATGGCCCCTACTTTTTTTTCGCATGCACGTCACCTCTGCCCCATCTACCCTACTCCACCAGCTCCTTGCATTACACACTAACAACACAGCCTTATACTTTAAAGTGTCACAGGCTTTGACATGTACTAGGCATGAACTACATACCGTGTAGTTTTGTGTGCATGACCTCAGTGTACATTTACTTGCATCTGCCATTTACTTTTCTTTCAGAAACATGTCATGGCTGTTGTTGACGGCGTAACACTAGTGGCTTCGCTGTCTCTAAAGGTCTTAGAAGATGTGGACACCTACAGTGCCCTTCTGGAAATTGCCCACATGCTTCATGGTTTGTGTTCCTTCTACGTTTTCCCGTTACAGTCTGCTGTGCTTCATTGAAAATGACAAATGCAATGCAGTTTGATCCATATAAAATTTATTTCTGTTTTATCTTTGCTTCTTTTCCTCAGATGTACTGATGTTTGATCAGGTCTCACAGGAGCCACTGCAGTGCCATATCCACATACTGTTCATTGACTGGTGGACAAAGGGGCTGAAGGAGAAAGAAAAGTTTGGTCGCACTGCTTTCCTTGTCTCTTTGCAGAAAAGCTTAACATTGAAGAAACCGGTCAGTATCTGACCTCATGTCAAATTGGTCAGTTTTTTTTTCTTCTTCTTCTTTTTATGCGACCACAAGGTTGTGTATTCATCATTATTCATCATTCAACATGATTTTGTGATGGAAGATGTTTTCCACGTTATTACAAACTGAGAAATTATGAAAGCCTTGTGGACACATGGGAATTAGAGACTCGGTGGCATGTATGTTTAACACTTTGCCATCTCATGATTGTTGTCAGGGTATTGAGATTCAAAGAGTCTGGAGTCTCCGTGATGTCCTTATGAGTCTGGACTACACATCAGAAGACAACAGGCAGATAATCGACTTGTTACTTAAATGCTTTCAACATCCTGTTTTCATTAGACATGATGAAGTAAGTAGAATTGATATTTAGATGCTGTTTTTTTTCCTCAGTGTTTTACCTGTTGTTTTTTTCTTTTGTTTGTTTGTTTGTTTGTTTGTTTGTTTTTTGTTTGAGCTGTCAGCCTGATGAATATGTATGTTGTCACAGGGAAAGCGATTCCTGGTTTATATATTCAGCTGGAATGTCAGCTTCATCAGGATTATTCAGGGCACTATCAAAGACCAGCTGGCGGTGTTCAGCAAGTATGAAGCCTGCTTTTACACAGTTTGACAGCAGTCAGTCCTTTCTTCATGTTATTTACTACTAAATTGTTGTGTTCAGGTCCACAACTACTCATATTACAGAGATCTACTTCAGAGCATGGAAGAAGGCCAGTGGGGACTTCGTGGAGAAGATTGAGAGCTCATGTATTCAAGATTTTATGCAGAATGCCATCTTTCTTCATAGAGCATCTCCTGTCCTTTCAAAAGTCCGACAGGTAAACTTATTACCTAGTCGTGGCTTCTCTTTGAAGGCTTGATTTATTTATTTTATTTTATTTTCATCATCATCAATGATATCCATTAGTCATTCTTCCAGAAGGATCTTTGGCTTATTCAAGTGTGTTTTAACAAGATCCAGCCATTTTAAAAATTCACAATTTTCAAGAATAAATGATATTTGGGGAAAAAAAATGCAAGAAACTAAACAAGGAAGGAATACCTGTGTGCTGTGAATCTGTGTATGGCATCATGAAACTGTCAGATCATCAAGGTTTTTTGGAGCACGCTGTTCCACCCAATGTTATCAAGCTGTCTCAGTCGACCGTCACGTGTTCTCCAGCAGGACATTGCATTCTGGAATGTTTCAAAAGAAATTAAATTGGCTGTTGTGAATATAATATCTAGGGTGTATATAATTTTGGCCGTGTTATTTTCATACATACATTCATTTTCTACCGCTTAATCCCTGAGCGGGGTCACGGGGTGGGGGGGGGCCGGAGCCAATCCCGGCCGGCAATCGGGCGAAGGCGGGGTACACCCTGGACAGGTCGCCAATCCATCGCAGGGCGCCGTGTTATTTCTGTTGATGATTTTAAAACAGTGAAGTTCTGAATGAAAACCTTTGTACTGTTCACAGTGAACTGAAGAACTGAGGAGGTCAGATACTTTAGTCATGTTCACTTTGTCTTAGAGATAATTGTCTTATTTCATTTTTTTAGCCAGGACTGTAGCTGGTTTATAAATTTCCCCATCTGCAGTCAAAGTGCATAGTACACTTTGTTTATTGGCTGATTTGTCTGATCTTCTTGCTCTCATGCAGATTTTGAGCTATTTCCACACAAAGAAGGACAGTCACACTGTGGACAAGATGCTCTGTAATCTCTACAGACCCATTCTCTGGACCGCTCTAAGTGTACGTCCACAGATTTCTACATAGAGGACTATATTCATTTTAGCATTTTATTCTAGTCAAATGTTTTTCCCTTTGATTTGTTCAGGTTCCTAACTTCGAGGTGCGTGCAAATGCCACTTGGCTTTTCACAGAGGCCTTCCCAGTCCACGACCCGGATCAGAGTAGCCAAAGCCTAGATGAGGAGGTTCAAGAGCAGCTGGACAAAGCAATGGTGAGAGAATCTTTCACACAGTCAAACCACATTTTGTTGAAAGTTTGAGAAACTAAATTCACCATCTGTCTGTCATTGTCAGGGCCTCCTTGAAGACCCCCATCCCACTGTGCGCTCCATAGCCATCCTGGGAGTCTGTAAGGTTTTGGCTAAGTGCTGGGAGCTTCTTCCTTCAGCAGTCATCACAGAGTTCTTGAAGAAGCTGGTGACGGAGCTTGCTTCTGATGCCAGCTCCTCTGATGTTCGTTGCTCTGTCTTCAAGGTGGAAATTGATGTTTTGTCTTTGTCTTGATGTGTGTTGTCCTGTCAAAAGTAAACAAAGAGAAGCTGCTAAAGTTCAATTACTGTTGTGAAATCCTTTCCCAAGATCTTATTCAGCATCTAAGATGAGGATCTTTTTTACAAACTGTCCATAAAGAGTCAGATGTTAAAAAAAAACAAAAACAAAAGGCACTCAGGAAATCTTGTCCAAGGTTTTGTGATGTCAAGTTAGGGTTGTCACTGCATAGACTTAGGATCACTGGTGTTATTGGCAGTAAACAAGGTGCACTGTGGTTTGTGCTTTGCTTTCCCTAGAGTCTAACTATCTTACTGGACAACACTCTCAGTCACCCACTATTGGAAAAACTCCTGCCCTTGTGCAAGTACAGCCTTCATGACAATTCTGAGAAAGTCCGTGCAGCTTTCCTTGACATGCTTATCAAGGTCAAAGAAGTTCGTGCTGCAAAGGTACAGTATGTCTAGGGTTTCTTCTTTTTTCAGTTCTGTGTAAATGGAAACATATTTCTTAAATGATGTAATTCAACCAGCTTGCTCTGAGAGACTGTTACAGTTTTTGATATGTCTCTTTGTCCTCATTTTTCCTCTTTGTGTACCTCTCTCTAGTTTTGGGATATCTGCAACATTGACCATCTCCTGGGCCGCCTGGCTCTTGATCCACAGTCTGTCTCTGGACGAATTGTCAGTCTGCTCTTCAAGTCCTTCTTCCCTGTGAATGAGTCAGAGAAAGAGTGGTGCAGCCGCTGCATCACCCTCATCAAGATGAATCCCATGGCTGCCAGGAAGTTCTATTCGCATGCCTCCAATCTCACAACCCCAACTAACATCTGTAAGTGTGTGCGTGCATGGGAGGAGTTTTGTAACCCTTAGTAGGTTCTCACCATGAGTGAAAATATTTACCGTGTGGCAATTTTTATCATGTAGCAATGTATTTTTGTAATCTCTTCCAGTAAAGCTGATGTTGGCCATTCGCCGTTTTCTGAACAGCTGCATCCAGATGAACAGAGACCAAGTCAGTGAGAACAGTGAGAACAGTGATGTCAACGACGATGATGACACAGTAAGGCACTTATGTTAACAGAGCTGAGTTTGAGTGCGGTTTATTTTAAAAATGTGTTGTTATTGTTGTTCCAAAAAAAAGCTAACAGTGTTAAAGTAGTGAACTTTGAGCAGTGCCCCCCCCCCCTCTTTTTTTTTTTTTTTTTTTTTTTTTTTTTTTTTTTTTTTTTGCTTGTCCTGTGTCTGTTGGCCCCCCCCCCCCCCCCCTTTTTTTTTTTTTTTTTTTTTTTTTTTTAAGGCCCAAGGTGACATCATCAAATAGTCTGTGTCAGACCAACAGTCCACAACCCAAAACATTTCTAAATTTCTTATTTGAGAAGCAGGAACCTGCAGAGTTTTAGCATCATTGTGGAGAAAAAAGGATTACTCCATTACAGAGTTTTGTTTTTTTTATGTTGCTTGATAAATTGACTAATTTCTTCCAATCTAATTTCATGTATTATCGTACAGATAAAAATTTGGGTTTTAATGTAATTTTGGTGGTGGGAGTTGTCAGTTTACTTGCACACTTTAAATGTCTGCTGTCTCTCAACTTTAATCGGATAGGATTTGAAAGTATGTGTGTACTTTGTGTCTGAGTTTTTGGAGATCCAATCTAGATTTTGATCTCATCAGGCTCAGCTAGTTCTGTTGGGGAAAGACACAGATGTCATGTCCAGTCTGCTGGAGGTCGTGGTCATCCTGTGGAGAAGTGTTAAGAAGTCCATGGAGCTAAATAACAATGCCGAGAGGTTCATTTTTGCTAAATTTGGAAATGTCATCGACAAGTATTTCCAGGCCTTTCAGGTACATCATGTGTAGCATGTTGTACTGTTACTGTCGATTATTGTTCCATGAACAAGTATTACTGTAAAATGATCTTGATCTGTTATTCAGGATGAGCGATGTATTGTTTGTCTCATACAAATGGCCTCACTTTTGCCTGCAGATCAAGCTACAGGATTCAGGTGAGCATTAAACCATCTCATATTGTGTGTGTCCATCGCAGTTGATAGCCAATTTAACCAGTCTCCCTCGTCTGCTTTCTGGTTCCCAGCTCTACCGTTCTGCCTAGGCTGAAGAGCATGGACCCAGGAGCTATGCCAAAACAGTACGGCCAGCTGTTAGACTGCATGTGTAGCTGGGGCTGGGCTGCTGACTTGGTCAGTCTCATCACTGACTGGCTATCTGAAGCTCTGCCCTTGAAAGAGGTCAGTACAACACCAGAGAGCTTTGAATTGAACAGAAAGGCTAAACACCTATGATATGCTTGATTCATCTGTTGGATTTCTCAGATTTTCATGAAAAGAAAAAGAGGTTTAATACAAACATGTTGTCAAAGTCATCTTCCTTTCAACTTCAGAAGAACGTGACTCCCAAGCGACAGAAGCGTTTCCAGAAGACGGTCGACGCCAAACCAGACCTGGCACTGACTTATCTGGACTACCTGCTCAGCCACACATCAGTGCGAGAGAAGATCCTCGCTCTTAGTGAGAGATCACTGAAGCAGCTCCATGCAGTTCTAGGACGCTGGAAGGTATGTGAAATATTTTTCATTTATTACTCGAATAAAATGATTGATATTGATGATTTGTGGGGTTTTTGTTTGTTTGGACAGTTCAATATGAGTTCTTAAAACCCTGAGGTCAGTCTTTGCATTTGTGCCCCCTGTCCGACCCAGATGTCACTGTCCTTTGTGAGGTTTCCCTGTAGACATCGCCCAGCCCTATTTTGCTACATTGGTATTTATCTGGTCTGAATGAATCAAATTGAACTGGGAGATCAGTCCTAATCACTTTGTCTTAACAAATTATGCATAGAGAGATTTGATATTTTAGAAACAGTCTCTTTATGAGATGTATGTTTTCTGACACAGTGTGATATTTGTGTCAACAGTCGGTGCTGTACACTCATCTCACCTCCAACACAGAGGATCCTAACAGCCCCAGCGCAGAGACGGCACTGAGAGCCTTTGCGCATTTCGGCCAACTTGCTGCACATCTGCAACATAAAGTAAGTTCCTCATTTTTTATATATTAAGTTTTTCCTTTATCTTTTCTTCTGGCTTTAGTTTTTGGATTAGCTACCAGGGCAGGCCTAGTGTTTTCCAGTGGCTTTATATTTATTTGGTCCATGTTGCTCACATTTATGAGCTGCTTAGTCAGAGTCACAGTCTTTGTCGTCGAGCAGATCCACTGGAACAGTTTGAGGCTGAGTACTTGCTAATGCATATTTTTAACCTGAATGATCCAGACTTCCCAGGTGGTTCATTTAATCCTTTTTGGTGTATATTGTTTTGTGTTTAAATATAAATGATCCTGCTTTAAATAGGGATCTACCACTGTGATGGATCCACATCAAATATAAATTCTTTGTTAAGGTCATTTTGTCAGTGTTTCTGTTGAGTCTGTGTTTTAGTGCCTCAGCACTCAGGAGGTACAGCAGATTGTACTGTAATCACAGGGTTGGCAGTTTGATCCCCAGCTCCTCTGATCTACATGTTAAGCAAGAGAATGAACCCCCAGTTGCTCCCAGTGAGAAACTTGGGGTTCTCCCCTGACCGACAGCCAGTGGCGAGCGTTGTATTAAAAAAAAAAAAAAAAAAAAAAGACAAAATTCAACCATTTGCTTTTTTCCTAGTTCTCAGCAGCTCGTGACTACCTGCTATCGTTGGAGCATATGTCAACTTGGGTAGCTGACGTGGTGTTGCCCTGCCTGTGCGATGCTGGGGCGGATTCAGAGAAGTCGCAGCGATTGGCCACACAGATAACTGAGGTGAGCTCCACTGTTATTTTTTTAAGCATATAGCTTTGAAAAGTCAGTGTACCCATTGTAACCTCCAGATTTCAGCAGAAGACTCGGGGAAAACTTCCACTAAGAGTTGACTGAGCTCAAACCAATACGTTTTTGTTGTAGTCCAAGTGTCTGCTGAGCCTTTTCAGACTTTAATTTGTGGGGGGGCTTTACCATATTTTTAAAATGTATTCATATTTTTTAATGGGCTTCTTGGGTGATTGATCAAAGATTTGGATTAGATTATCAATTGGTGGGATTTTATTTTAAAATGCCGTGGCAGCAAAGTTTTTGCTGTGAGTGGTCACCACGGAGGAATGTTACCAGTGGAAACACTGGTGTTGCTATTGTTCTCAGCCTGTCTCCACATGGCTGCTGAGATCGGATACTGAAAATACCCCTTTCATGTAGCTGTGAGGGATCATAAAGAGCTTCTGCTGTCCATCAGCTACCAGTAGAACTGAACTTTATACTGAAATATAGTTCCCCAAGACTGGGCTTTGTCTGTATTTGTTGCTGATTTTTTAAAAAGTGGCTTTTTAAAAAAAAAATTATTTTTTTTATGAAACATTTTCTTCTTTGTGATGTCTTCTACCAGAGCTTTTTGACTGTGTGCCGAGATGTTTTGCTTGTGGGTTTGGGTGACAAAATATTCAAGGTTGAAATCCTGCACTTGTGCTCAGGCATCCTCCTCTCAGGTGAGTGTTTCAAATATCTGTTTAAGTGAGCCACAAAACTAGGTGTGTGATATGCTGCATTTTTAGAGAGAATATCCTTTGAAATGACAAAAACGATCCTGATTTTTAACAGAAGCTAGTGTTAATTTCCCTCAAAACACTTGACGTGAATTACCAGAGTGTTTGTTTCCTATGTGTTTTCAGAGACGGGCTACCTGCATATTCATGCAGTGCTGCCAGTATTGAAAGAGGTGGCAGACAGCTGTGTACCCGAGGATAGCCACGAGGCTCTGGAGAATCAGGAGATTACAACCACTACCATTATGGAAATGGTGGTCGGCCTTTTTGACAACATTGTACAAAAGTTATGTCGCTACCTTAGGAAGGAACCAGAGGAAGGAAAACAGGTGCACTGAGATTTTTTTATTATATTTATGGCTGTTTTTAAGAAGTTGCCAATGCAATAGGACTGTGTTTGGTTTGTTTTTAAAAGTGCATTCCCTATAAAAGTCTATTATTCACAGGCCATTCATCTTTCCACAAGTGTTTAGTGGCACTCAGCTTTCTGTCACTGTACAACCTGCTCTTAAAAGTGATGTCGGGTCTTTCTGCCCCATCTGTAGCTGTGTCAGTCAGTTGTTCCTGGTCTGACAGACTTCGTCAAAGTGGCTGCGACCTGGGACAGAGATGCTCTCTGTGGCGTTTTCAGTACTGTTTTTGCTGTCTTCATCGCAGAAGTGGCACGTTTGCTCCAGAAGGTACGCGGTGACCGAGCATGGTAGCAATTCATAGATGGCATCTGTCTTTTACCAGTATCTCACGTCATGATTTTGACTCAATTATTGTACTCATTAGTGATTTACAAAGAGAATAATGAATACTTCCCTGACTGTATTTAGATTGAAATATTGGTGTTTCTTATCAGCTGCTGTTTTGTTTTTTATTTTAAAGATCACCAATCCTGATGAGTTGGTCACCCCACAGTCTGTGAAGGATATGCCTCCTCTGTCCAGCATCATGTTGTCTGTCATTCTCCCATCACCTTCTGTTAGCAGGTGCATATCATTTCCTTTCCTTTTTTTCTGATCAAGACCTAAACAGTAAACATTCAAGAGTGAGTGTGATTTGTTGGTGTGTTTTTCCATCAGGGCGTTTTTGACAGCGGTCAGCTCAACTCTGACTTCTGCAGATATCAGTGATGTGAAAGAACTAACTGCCACCACGCACGTCTTGGCTGTCATCAGAGACTGTGAGTTCTCACCATGAGAAAATGAGTCTTAGCAGGTTGCTTCTCCAGTAGTACTGTGGTGTATAAGAATATATACAGTGAGGAACAGAAGTATTTGAACACCCTGTGATTTTGCAAGTTCTCCCACTTAGAAATCATGGAGGGGTCTGAAATTCACATTGTGCATTCCCACTCTGAGAGACAAAATAAAAAAAAAAAAACATTTCAGGAAATCACATTGTATGATTTTTAAAGAATTTGTCTTGCACTGCTGAACATAAGTATTTGAACACCTGAGAAACAGCAAGAATTCTGGCTCTCAAAGGCCTGTTACTGTGCCTTGAAAAAGTCCACCTCTACTCCACTCATTAATCTAAATTAGTAGCACCTGTCTGAGCTCTTTAAAGACACCTGTCCACCCCACCAGTAGGTAACATGTGAAGCGCACTCCCTACACCTACCAGCGGGTGTCTCTCTAACACAATATTCACAGGCTGCAGTGCTGTTCAATTATGTGTGGGTGGGAATATGGGAGATGGAGATATAAAAAAATGAAAGACTTTATTGCTTTGGGGGACACACATGCATATATGGCATACATATGTATATGCGAACTCATGCACAAGCAAAGACACTCAAAGGATGGGGGCAGCAAGAGAAGCAGCTGGGGATCCAATAAATTAGAGATGATTGAAGATTACAGTTTAATATAACAAATCTGTGGGACCTTCAGCTCAGTTCACTCAAATTAAGTCATCACATGTCCAGGCCTGTCTGAAGTTTGCCAAAGACCATCTGGATGATCCAGAGGAGGCATGGGAGAAAGTCATGTGGCCAGATGAAACCAAAGTAGACCTTTTTGGTCTAAACTTCACTCGTCGTGTTTGGAGGAAAAAGAAGGATGAGTTGCATCCCAAGAACACCATCCCTACTGTGAAGCATGGGGGTGGTAACATCATGCTTTGGGGGTGCTTTTCTGTGGAGGGGACAGGACGTCTGCACTGTATTAAGGAGAGGATGAATGGGGCCATTTATTGTGAGATTTTGAGCAACAACCTCCTTCCGTCAGTCAGAGCATTGAAGATGGGTCGTGGCTGGGTCTTCCAACATGACAACGCCCCGAAGCACACAGCTAGGATAACCAAGGAGTGGCTCCGTAAGAAGCATATCAAGGTTCTGGAGTGGCCTAGCCAGTCTCCAGACCTCAATCCAATAGAACATCTTTGGAGGGAGCTTAAACTCCGCGTTGCTCAGCGACAGCCCCGAAACCTGACAGATCTAGAGGAGATCTGTGTGGAGGAGTGGGCCAAAATCCCTGTTGCAGTGTGTGCAAACCTGGTCAAGAACTACAGGAAACGTTTGACCTCTGTAATTGCAAACAAAGGTTTCTGTACCAAATATTAACACTGATTTTCTCAGGTGTTCAAATACTTATGTTCAGCAGTGCAAGACAAATAAATTCTTTAAAAATCATACAATGTGATTTCCTGAAATTTTTATTTTAATTCTGTCTCTGAGTGGGAATGGACCTACAATGTGAATTTCAGACCCCTCCATGATTTCTAAGTGGGAGAACTTGCAAAATCGCAGGGTGTTCAAATACTTCTGTTCCTCACTGTAAGTGCCTAAAACCTGTCCACAGTGCTTTTAAGGAGACTCCCAGTTAAAGGAACATAGTGCAGGACATGATCCCCAGCTGACACCAGTCGCTGAAAATGTCCTGGAAAATAATTTCTTTAAAACAGTGGGAACCTGAAGGCACATGACAAACTTAAATATTTGTATAAGATGTTTTTCTTTCTGTTGATGAAAGATGCATTGCAGTTGCTTACACATTACACTTTGTTCTGTAGCAGCTAAATCTAAAGGAGGCTTGAAGAGCGCTGCCACATCTCTCCTGCTGCAGCTTCACAAACATGCAGTCACATCAGCAGACAGCAGAGACATTCACAGGCACGTGCTGGAAAATCAGATGTTTTTCTTTGGATAATATGTTGATCAATCACTTTGGTAATGACTAAGCTTCTTATCCTTCTCCCCAACAGGGTTATGTATGAATCATCTGTGAAGACTGTTAAAGAAATACTGGATTTATTTCCTTAGAAGTGACCAGTGTGATATTGTAAAGCTGGGGGCAGACATTTTCAGATAAAAAAAATGACCCAGTACATTTTTGGAAATTTGAGTACATTTTGATAAAAAAAAAAACTAAAAAAAAAACTGCATGAATCAGATGTTTATTTCTTTCTCAGAAGGTCTTGTCTGCAGTGTGTAACAGCCCAGTACAAACATGCAATAAATCATCCTCTCACTTCTCTTCAGTCTTAAAGGGGAATGGCACCATGTTAAGAATTCACATCTTGTTTTTGCTTTAGTCAGTACTGAGGGTTGTGCTCCCTGGAGACAAATTCCAAGATGTTGTCTGCTTTCTGGTTTCTGGAAGTAGTAATGCAGGTTCACATTTCACTGAGGTCACTGACTAGACATTAAATAATCTCATTTCAATGTGTTATTCGGCTGTCATTACATTTAGTCGGTCATGTGTAGAGGAACTAAGTACATTTACTCAAGTACTGTAAAGCTGCTGTAATTGTTCTGCTGATACAGTGAGAATGTATAACTATACCTGCATTTTAGTCACAGCAGTTACCTGATTCAAAACTAAATGACTCTGGTAACCAGACTATTAGTGCTAAAGTGTCACCAGCTATTCTAGCTACATAACAAACTGGTCATGTGGCATAGGTTAAAAAAAAATCAGCAGTTTAAACAGAATATGAGAACTCCTAGTTTTATTGACATGTTATTCTGTAGCCTATGTACTGCTTATGTTCCTCAGATTGTATTTAGAACCTTATATTTATTTTTGTCTGCTTAATGAATCAGTTTGTGTCTTTATTTTGTGTCTCATTTTGTTGTTGGCTTCATGGCCTCAGGGCTCCATCCATCCATCCAAGGCGCTGTTGCGCGCTGTGCGCACCATCCCTCCTCATGTGTTTGACGTCAGTAACTTAGGAGGGGCTCCTCGGTGAAGCTGGTTGCTGTTTGTGGTGCTGAAACGACGCCTGGCTTGCGTTGCCATTTACGAGGTTTTGGCTTCTGTGTTTTTACCGTTAAACATGCCGTTTTAGTCCGAGTGTCGTCTGAGCAGCTCACACCTGAGTTGACGTTAAACATGCTGTTTCAGCGGAGGTCTGTGATGGATTAGTAGTAGTACGGTGTAAGACGGACACGGAATGGATTTACTGTGGTGTCCCATCGTCGCTGCCTTGGCTGCCAGCCTCTGCTGCACACCTGCCGTCGCTGACCACAAATTTGGTAAGAGCATGTTTCAGCTCAACAGCTTCTACCTTTTTCGGTGCTTTAAATCCGCCCGACCCCGGTTTGTTTGTCAAACGTTTGCTCTGTTTGCAAAAGTTCAGAAAATGTCCCTGTTGAGTGGGACATTGTGTTCGTAAGCGCACATCACCTTCGTGTAATTGCTAAAACTTGCCCCCTGCGCTCCGGTGCTGCAGCCTGGACGAGAAGACCATCAGGAAAAGTTACATAATTTTTCAGGCCCAATGACATAAATGTTTGCTGTGAGACGTAGGTTAGTGATTACAAAGCGAACAGTATTATTTATCTTAGCTGCTGTTTTCCTAAAAATGCACAGCTAACTGCAGAAACGTCAACTTCTGCATCCAATGATTCACGCAAATGTAAAAACTCACTTCCGTTTGCTGTTGTCTATTTCCATAAAAACGACTCATCCCATACCCCCCAAGAGCCATGCTTTTTTTTTTTAAAGTCCAATTAAATATTTAATAATATCCCATACCCCCTCCTCAGCAAAAGGCCAACTTTAATACAGGCCTAAGCTTGTATTCCCCATTTGCCTCAGACACCACACTGAACAAACTGTGGCGTATGTACAACCTATGACAGAGAAGCTATTGTGATAATTGTCCTTTTAACTGGTTGCAGGTGTGATTTCTATATTGCCAGCACCTGTTGATTGCTACAGGTGAGTTTCGTTACAAACTAAAGGAGCATCACATGCTTGAAATGTGAGTTGAAAGGACTTCCTCAGTTACATCTTCCAATTTTGCCTCTAATCACACCTACTGATCCAGGATCAGAAGACATGACAATATAATACTTTTATCATAAGAAGGAGGTGAATATTGGTCTCAGACTGGCACTCCAGCTCTGTGATGATTCATACAGGCAGTGAGATGCATCTTCCTTTTTTATTTTTAGAGCAACAGAATGTCTGTCTTTTTTTATAGGCCTCTGCCACGCACATACACACACACACACACACACACACACACAGCATCCAGCTCACAGTTTTCTTATTTTTTTCATATTTTGCTCTTGCAATGTAGGTTGCAAACATAATCTAGAAAGCCCAGATCTTGCCATTTTCTTCATGGAGGTTTTTTCTCCCTACACCCTGGCTGATCTATTCTTAGAATATTTGTGAATGAGTCAGTTCTTATTCCCCAGTTGCACTTCTCTCATTGAATTCTCTCTGTGCATCTATGGAAAAGGTCTCTGTCGTCACTGTGGATAGCAGTTAGATGTGATTATTGTTTTTAATGGGTCCCACTGCAGATTGCACTGTGTCACTGGAAGCTGTTGGAACAAGGTGTGCTCCAGTGATGTAGCTGCCCATATACACTGACTGGCCACTTTAATAGGCACCGCCTGTGCAATTGTATGCAACCTTAACATCTGTGATTATGAAGTTCAAAATGTTCCGGTTGAGTTGTGTGTTTATTATTGAGGTCATAGTAAAAGGTGGTGTTGTACTGTTCTACATTATATTCAGAGGTGTCTTTATACTTTTGTCCTCCCCAGCTACATACATGAGAGGGTCAGAATATTCGGAGCACCTGAATATGTCATCCAGTACAACACCACATTTAACTATGGCCTCGATAATAGACGTTTAATTGAATGTAAACATTTCTGACAATTTCACCAAAAACTGAAACATAGTGACCTTCATAAACACAGATGTTAAAGGGGAAATGTTGCATTGAATTGCATACAATTGTACAGGTGTGCTTAATAGAGTGGGCAGTGTGTGTACATATAACAAACACAGTGTGGGTGGATGCGTTTGTGTGGGAAAGGCAGAGATCGCGTGCTGTGTGTGGGTATGTACACTACCAGGTAAAAATGTGGACACACTTCCTCATTGAATTGAGCACATGAAATCCACATGCGAAATTTGTCCACAGCTGCAATCTCTAGTTATGAAAGTGATGCATTAAGTGCTGTACATTTAAAACTGGTGTGAATTTGGCCCTTTGTGAAAAATTAAATCTAAATCCTGTAGATAGCTTTCCAGTCTACAAACAATCAGGGTTACATGCATGACAGGTTCTGACCAAAATGAATGAGAATTTATGAGAACGTCAACGTGAACAGTTGTTTTTGTTGTTAAAATAGTAGAAAACATTCAGTAGGCATTTAGCCCCCAGTGCTGAATTAGCTACAGGGATCTGGTCAAAGCTCTGGGTTTTATGAAGGATGCGAATGGTTTTACAGCAAAACTTAAGAAATCAGGTCCTGTTTTAGGGTCAGACAGCTCTCTGTTAAGGGTGTTCAATAAATATGCCTAGAGGAAGAGGCTGATGGTTTTGTCTGAACAATGTATAAAATTGTTCTGCTTATAATTTTCCAAAGACGAAAGATAAACTGGCATACTGAGTGTCTTATGTGCTGGATCAATAATACTGATTAAGTGCTGTATCAACACTAGTTTGCCAGGAGTGAAGCTCTTGCTGTTTGCACTGCTGTCATCTCAAACATGAGCTTCTGCATTAATGTATCACATCTGGCATACATCCAGTGTCTGGTGAGAAATTTTCATACATGATATGAATACTCACAGAGCACAAACTATCACCAAGGCAGCTCACTATCCCCATATGCCATTCCACCAAAAAGCACTATTCCCATGATAACTTGACCCTCATAATGATTCCTTGGCCATGAAAACCTACCTAGCATTTGAAATCACATTGATATTGTTAGTTTGAAAGCTATTCAAGAAAAATGATATTTTACTAATGGTGATTTTCTCCAGGATCTAACTCAGCAACTGTTGTGGGTCAGCAGAATTTCAGCTCCAGTTTGGTGTTTGTTGTGAGTCTGTAGTATTATTTGAATCTCACATTAGTGAGTTTGTAAATTTGAACATTCTGGATCGCCACATCCAGAATATTACTTGGATCGAGATCTTATGTAGGTGTTTCCTTAGGTTTAGGTTCCACCATTAGTGGACAACACAAAGAGCAGTAAAACACCAAGACATCGTTGTCTGTTTCTCAAAATGAAATTCAGACACCATACTTTAAGAGTGCAGGAAGGTTAATGCTCTGTTGCTTCTTCACGTGAGAATCAGAAAAATTTGAATAATGAATTCATTAAGCCCTACCAATGGAGAATTTACATAAATTGATTGTTAGGTATTAACACTCTAGTCATTGCTCTGTGGCTTGCTGTTAAAATTCAGTTCAGCACCTCTGTTCTGTTTGCAGACATTTGGCTGTGTCCTGAATCCCAATAACAAGCACCGAAAATCCCATAGTTTGGGAGCCAAGTGTTAGCATGATTTTAATATTGCATTCTATTGGGAACATGGAGATTAGACGGTGTACAGACACTACTCAAAACTGATAAAGGATGGAAATGAACAAAAGGTCAGGCCTTACTGATTACCTTGACTGTTTTAATCACTGAATCCTTGTGTTGAATTTGCAATAAATTTTAAATGTCTCAGCTCTTCTAACCTTGTTTTATACAAGCAAGTCTATTTTATGCCCAGATTAAGGAGCGTTAAAACTGTATTGATGGCTTGAGACAATGCAATAGGGTCTGTTATCTCCGATACATGTCGGTATTGTTCTCTGAGGCTGTGCTGCTGGGTCTTTTCATTATTGCTGGCTGTCCTCAGCTATCGCTTAATGTACCCAGACAAGTTAGATTTGATTCATAGGCTGCTGAGCTCTATCTGTGTTGCTACAGGCCTTTGTCATCACATAGATACAAGGAGTGGTGATATCAAATATCTTATTGTGGTAATAAATCATCTGGGAGGATTGAGTTGTGTGATGGTCTGAGGATAGATCATTTACAACTGTGTGGATTATGAACATATATCTAGATAAGGACAGACATCTTGTAGCACAAGAAGTGGCTTGTTTCGTTTCTATATGTTGTGGTGTTTGTGTTGCCCATTATTTTCCGAGCTGCTAGGACAGCAGGTCAGTTACTTCTATCTGTTCATATTGGGAGCAAGCTTGTTTTACAGGGCATTGAGAAACATTTTTAACAAATGAAAGCAAGTGCAAACTAAGAACTGGCAATGAGTCGATCACTCCTTGGTGGCTGGTCATAAATCCTGCCTACCCCATGTTAGTGGATGGAACATGAGCCAAACTAAAAACTCAAGTACAAATAAATTTTCCCAAAGGTCACATCTGTGGTTTTAGTAAATATTATCACAATGATATGTGTACAAGTGGTCATTTTTTTGGTAAGTTTGTTTTTAATAAGTTAATCATTGATATAAAAACATCTTTGATTGGTAGCCTAATGCTGTCACTCCACTTCTGGTTGCTATTGTGCAGAATCTGGTTGCAAAAAAGCAAAATGGCAGCTGCTGTATTCTGAGTCATCTTGACTGAACTGGGAAAGGGTCGGCTTGAAGCAGCTGGCACTGGCCTCCTGTTCAGACTTTGACACTTTGGATGTAGAGCCTTCACTCCATCCATCCATCCATCCATCCATTTTCCTCCGCTTATCCGGGACCGGGTCGCGGGGGCAGCAGTCTAAGCAAAGATGCCCAGACTTCCCTCTCTCCAGACACTTCCTCCAGCTCCT